CATATGATCTTGCAGTTTGTGGAACATGGCTTATTGGCCTAAGATTCCTAAATTGCTGAAGTTGGTACTATTTAGACATTCTCTATTCCACAATGAAGCTAAATTATGCTTTGTGATTGACTGTCTTGTTTTTGAATTATGAAACCCAATTGTATACTGGTACTTTATGCAAATTTTCTAATCCAAAATTGCTGCCAAAGTTGATTTAAGTTCAGGTACCCCGATTCTTGTTTGATTTTTGTCATTTATTTGAAGTAGCCTTTCACCCCACATTTTTAACTTGTAAGCCACCTCCATCATTAAACATATATAACCATAAAAGTGGCATCCATTTTTAGTTCCCAATCAAACGCAGTGTATGCATGCGTGCGTGGCGGGAATAATTACATTCAAACTTCACACATACATCAAATATCATATTATACATATGCACATCAATTTGTTTCACAATCTGATTCAAGATGGCCAAATGATGACCATTTTTATACAGAAAAAATCACCAAAATCAAACATTTTTGATATTCCGGAATTTGATCTTGGCTGTTTACAGATGGATTTTGTTCAAACTTGGTACATACATTTGACATTATGGGATCTTGATGCACATCATTCTGTTTTTCAGATCTGATTTAAAATGTCAGACGGGTGGTCATTTTGTTTTAATGAATGTGCTTCTAGTTGTACCATATCTCTTAGATGGTTTGACTGATTATGTTCAAATTTTATATGTTCATTATACATCATGTCATAGATATACAGATGTATTGGTTTGGCGATTATTTGTTTGTCAAAATTCTGTGCATATTAATTTTAAACAATTTTTCATGTACCATTCAACAGATTTTAATAAATATGGTGCATAGATATGCTCAAAATAAGACATATTTCAATGTTTTTGCATGCAATAAACACAATTTTTGCTTTAATGTGTATAAAAAATATGCTTCTAATATAGTTAATACAGTATTCCTTATTTTTACCTTCAGCACATGGGAGTTCTTTCTAAGCTTTCTTTGATTTTATAAATTGTCTTTAATTATATAAAACGTGCAAAATTCTAAAATCTTCAACTCAAATGCATACACAATCAAAGTTCTCAATAGTCCATGTAATACTAAGTAAATTGCTACTATAGAATGAGGTGATATCATCTTTGATGCAATAATTTGACTTTTTCTCTGGTATTATAGGTATTTGTTAACAAACCAAAACCGATTACGGAGTGTCAACGACATTATGCCAATGATTGGTGCTCGTTTTTATACTCAGCTGGATGCTGCTCAGATGAGAAGTGACGTAATAGAGGAAGACTTGTCTAAAGAAGTTCAAAACGGCCGTCTAATGAGGCTGCTGGCCAAGCTCAACACAATATGTGAAAGACCAGAGTAAGTAGCACAATAAAGTATTTTCACTAGAACTGTACCTTTCAGTGTTATCATCTAATAATAACAATACTATCAATCCTGCAAAGTACTGTAAAATACTTTATTTTAGCTGGAATTAATTTTCACTGAAAAATGAATATTTTTTATAGAATTTATTTTCACTGATTTTTGATGAGTTGAATGTAAAACATAGCAAAAAGGTATATTTGCTGGGTTTTTTATAGTATGTACTCTGGCAGTATGGTGTTTAGATTAAATGATGTGTAGCAAAGATTGTTGCAATGTGTACTAAAATTGTACATATTTAGTCATAATTTAAAAAGATATAAGCTGACAAGATCTATTTTTCCATTCTTGTTACATTGTAGACATTTGATCTTTTTTATATGTTTTTGTTTTGTTTCTATCCTCCAACTTTCATCCTACAATTTTATTGATTACCAGGTTTTCAATGGATCCCACATGGTCAGAAACTGGTGATCGTTACTTATTGAAGTTATTCCGTGACCATGTATTCCATCAAGTATCAGATACAGGTGCACCATGGATGGATTTAGCTCACATTGTCTACTGCCTTAACAAGGTAAAGAATTTATTTTAGTGCTCAGTGCTTGAACTTTGATACCCTGAGGGCAACAATTTAGCTTTAAATTCCATTGGCAACAAAAGTGAGATCAATTTGGTTGTGTGATTTATCATCTTGTTCGACATTTACTTCTGAAGGGCAAGTATTCCCATTTTTCAAGCCTTGACAAACAAATTGGATGCTGTGAGAACCTCGCAAATAGAATCAAGATACAAAATGCTGTCAATTAAATCTGACAATTTAGTTTTGACAGTTCTATGAGTATGTCATTGCAGTTTTGCTCATTATACATGTACTTTAAATGTGTCAATTCAAAATATAAAAACAGGGAAATTAAATGTCAGTGAAAATAAATAGTTTTACAGTAACCGATCTTTTTGATTCATAGCTTGATGCCGGTGCACCAGAGAAAGTGTGCTTGATGTCACGGGATGAGCAGAATGTTCTAGTGGTGTCTTACAGCGATCTAAAAGTCTGTTTTGAAAACACATTTTCTGAAATCTTACAAGCCAACCAGAGTACACCGCACCACCCAACGCAACCGCAAGTACAAGCGCCGCCAACCACGTAAATACACAAGACAAATAACCCGCCTCTTGTGTTGGTCTGCTGCATACTCAAATCAATTCAACGATTTGTTTTTATACTTCTCCAATGAGAAAAATATGAACAATTATTACCATTTGTGTATTTTAAAAAACAAAAATCTCTTTTTCTCTGGAGATGTGATTCTTTATTCAAAAAGACTTATTTAAATTGTACTATTTTTGGAATATTTTTGGTCTATAAAATTGTGAATTTCTATCTTTTAGAGCGCAAAACTGCCACCGAAAGAATCAGTGAGGGGGTGAGGAAAAAAAAACAAGGAAAATGTTGGCTTTGTTAGTTTTATAACTGTTTGTATATATGTACTTTACATAAGATAGACTGTGGTTATTCTGCCTTCCTCCAGTGACTGCAGATATTGCATCCATCTTCCATAACAATCCACCTAGGACTTCCCAACTGATATGTGGGAGTAAAAAGTAAACCCATTCTGTCTTAATCTTTCATCATGTTACAGACTTTGTTTATTTTAGATTCAGTGATCTCAGTAAGTTATATAAATTGTGCCTTTTGTAAAATAGTAACAACTTGATAGATGTATACCATGGTCTTTGGGACTGACCTTAACAATTTATGTTGAAAACTTGCATGGTACAAGTAGGAAAATATAATGTTATAGTTGTAATTTTCTTAACATTACAATGAACTGTGTGGGCTGCTGGCTGTGTGATGAAAAACAAATTTAGAAAACAAAAAAGGTCTATATTTTAGGCTCTCTTTGATTTTAAAAGTTGGGAATTCTCCGAAGCAGTTTATTGTCTTGAAGTAAACAGTCATTTGGTCACTACTGCTGTGTCTCAAGTCCACACTGTTAATAGCAGGTTTTTAGATGTTGACCAACATGTTGCTTGGTGTACAGCCTCTGTTAATGGTGTTCAATGTACAATAACATTCAAGCAGGTGTATTTCAGTATCATGTAGGCACAAATCTTACCAAGACTGCAGGCACTGTTATTCTGTGATACAGTGGAATTCTAGGTGACTCCACACCATTAGTATTCATATTCATTCCATTTGGGCATGTTTGGAGAAGAAACTGTTTTATTATAGTTTAGTTTATGTTTTATGCCTTTCAAACCTTTGTTCCATATGACAAAATACATAATTTTCATAGAACAATATTTCATAGCTGAAAAGCAACATTTTTAGACCGAACCCCCTCTCGTAAGCCCTAAGGCTATATTAATTTTTCTGCTGCATTGTAGTTATTGTGGTCGTTGTTCCCTGCTTGAAGAGAACATACTGGGCTTTCCTTCAGTTTAAACCCCAAAACACAGAGGCTACACACCAAATGTGTATTTTTTTATCATTCGTGTTAGTTTTAATTTTGCTTTACTTACTATTATGAACTTATCACATTAAAAAGTTTATTTTTATCATTTTAATGAGAGAATGAATTTTGTTTACAGTAACTGTACAAAATTGAAAGATCGCTTTGTCGTCTTGTGCAGAGAAGATCATTTCTACAATACCTTCCAAAATAATTATGATTTTACCATTCAATTCAAAATTATTATACCAAGCATGAGTTCTGTACTATATGTTTGTGCTTCCCCAGAAGTGTTACCTACTGCTACCGACCAAAGCCTTTTTTTCTACCTAGACACCACCTCTTAATATCAGGGAATTTTGGAATTGTTTGAGAGATAACTAGAATGGTTATTGACAGTTGATTTTTCTTACTCTTAAATGTAAGTTGTAATTGAACCTAACAAAAGATAGTAAGTTATTGTTTAAAATTGTTGTTTCAGTTTTGGGTTAATCCTTTTTAAGCATAGCTCATTTATTTATTGCTACGTTCATTGTTTTTTTCATCATTTTGTCTCTGTTTCTGTTTGAACAGGTTTTTAGTTTTGACGGGGGGAAAAAGCAATTATGTTGTATCTGCACTGTACTGAACTATGTGTAACTTGTTGGTTTGATGTTCATACAAATTTTGTAGTTGTATTTGTACCATATTATACCATACAATTGCAATTATTTTTTAAAAAACTTCTCATTTGAGTTGTACAGGCATATTAGCAACATCAGAACAGTTCTTAGACAAATTATAAGGATATTGAGCTGCATGTCAAGTACTCATTACTTCAGTATGATTGCTAAGAGAGATTATTGCTACAGAAATAGAGTAGTTCTTGATTTGCTACTTCGGGTTGTTGAAGTCCTTCCATGTATAGATGGTGCTCTTCTATGTTAAATAATCATAGTAATATTAAGGCCGTAGTAACAAAATTCTTAGTTTTACTTCCTTTCAAATCCTTAAAGTAGTAATGTTAATTAGCAGAAATCCATTTTTTCTTTCTATGAAATGTAAACATGACTGACTCTGCCAAGCAGTCTGTACTGCTAATTATTATTGTTTTTGCTTGTTGTATTTTTTTGAGAGGCAAAAGTCTGAAATTGCTTGCAAAATAGTAATATATTAGCATTTAATTTTTAGTGTGTTTGCATATTCACAGCATCATTCTCAGTACAAACTTAACTTGTCCCTAACATCATTCAAACAATCCTGCACATATGAGGAAGCAAAACAGAATTTTATTTTGGCCTTAGTTCAAAGGCATGAAGTATTTTGTAAAAATTATTGAATCTTTCAGTTGCTGAAGCCGTTAATAACTTTATCTGTTGAATTGCTGTCTCCCTATGTGGGGGAAACCGGTCATGTTTATTTCAGGGGTGGTGTCGGGGGGGGGGGGGTTACCTCAAAAGATGTTTTGTAGCAATCAAATCTGGGATCTCCTTGAATATTTTCAGATATTCTTGGTCAAACCTTGTAATCCTGACCAATTTTGCAGTATTTACATAATTCACTATTTAAAACAAACAAAAAAAAATATTGTAGCAAATTGAATTGAAGGTATACAGAATATAAAATATACAAGTTGCTACACTTGTAAATCATGAATATTTTGTACAGAATTTTTGTTCTGTAAACAGTCTACTTCTTTGCAATATTTTAATAAAATATGTGTGTAAAATTATGTGTATGATGTGAGGGAACTTGTGTATTAAGCAATTATGTCTATTGTGTTTACTGTACTCATATTTTCTCACTTGTTTTGGATTTACAAGTTTACATCATTTCGATTAGTGATTTTAATGCGTAATTGACAAGTGGGCGTTATCAGCCAATAGCAGAATTCCTCTGGTTAGTGAATTTTTGGTGGTCACTGCTGTACCAACTAAGGGGAAGTGGCTTGTGGGTACCCCTAGTCAGATGAGCATTGGTCTAAAAACAGTGAGGAATCCTTCACTACTGATTATTGTATTGCGTGAGGAAAACCTCCATCCCATCTTGAATGACAGTGTCAATTCTACAGATGTGAGGGTTGAAGGAGGAGCACATGGTGTACCAACTACATGCTTAAAATGTCTTCCAAAACTGATTAAAAATCATCCAAAACTTTTTACTAGACAAGATAGATGCATATTTTTTTGAAAAGTAAAACATAAATTTGAATAAATGAGTAGAAATTGGATACACTCTTCTATCTGTTTGCTGTCTATGGCTCCTACAGTTTGCAGCAAAAAACCGAAACAAATCTAAATAAAAATCTTTAAATTAATCTTCCCATTGAAATTATTTTAAAGTCTAACAATATAAATATACAATTTACATTGATTTTAGCACAGTGCGGTATAAAAAAGATACGTATCCCCCACCCCAAACGCCCTCTAAAATTAAAATTTCTATCCCATAATCCTTTCTTCCCTATGCCCACATGGGCATATCTGCAATGTCAGAACATCCTCATCCACAACTGTCTCACCAAATCGATTTGTACATTGGTTTTCCAGCAGAAATCAGTTCAATTACATCAAAACCACTGGGTACTATTTTCTTTGCGGCATCAAACACATACTTTCTATCCCTCTTTGTCAAAGCTAGTAACATTTCTTTACCATGCAGATAATACGGAAGGAGTGCGCCCTCAGCAGTGCCAAATATCGGAAGCAATTAACAGTGTATTGAAGGTCACAGCTTTTTCCGAGGACGATGCGGTAATTTCAGAATGCGTTATAAATCAAAAGTCACTCCAAGACTTGTCTCTCCATTCTCGTCCCTGTCGCTATTACTCAATCGAAAATAGTCCTATATGAGCCACAGTCACAGTCACAGCCACAGTCAACGAAGACTTTGTTTATTTTTGCCCTTGCCCTGTTGTGGTGGTCGTCGCGCCACCGGTGAGCTCAGGAAGGGGCAAATGTTCATTTGCCAAGTAGATTGAAAACACTTGTTATGCTACATTATCCGGTGGGTGCTGTAGACAATTCTGCTTTGTGACTGCGAAATGGCATGCCCGATGGAGCCATTGATTGTTGATCACTGTTGGTAGCAGGCTACTATCACCTGTCCGGATCCTGCTACCTGAGAGAGGTCTCTCCTGATAACCAATTGTGTCGGAAAAGAACAAACTCCTCACAAAAATGCAAACTTTTTCTCGAGCTATTTCCAATGCATCTACTGATTGTGACATGTCTCTCCCGAATCTCTCTGGTGTTAAGGTCAAAGTATCATTCTCACTGATTTTAATAAAAAGTGTCAAATGTTTGTGTATGCTGCCCTCTATATATTGCCAATGATGTATACATGAAGTGTGTTGTTGATTTGACTATTTAATGTAGTGTACTTATAATGTACTTATAGTGTTTTATTTCTTGTGGATCTGTTTTTGTCATTTGTTTTGTGTTCTTGGACTTGTAAATTTCTCTCTAAATATTTGTGTATGAAAATGTACGTTTGTTATCTCCAGGCTACCATGCTTTATCAAATGTACAATGGAGAGGTACAGGTATTAGTACCTAGAATGAAATCATCAACCAAATATTTGTTATCATTTAATTAAAGACTAAATGAGAATGACTAATAATGACCAATTCGGACATGGGTCATGCTATCACCAACCAATATCTAAAAATTTGATTAAACAGGTATCATCTCAGGAGCGGATACAGGATTATTGTTATGGGGGGGGGGGGGGTCCAAACTTTAAAATCGCCAGACTAAGTTAATGATTTTTTTTTATATTATACAAAAACAAATTGAATACATTTTTCAACAGGGGGGGGGGGGGGCAAAGAAACCCCTCTAGATCCGCCACTGCATCTAAGCTTCAGTCAACCACTGCAATGGCCACTTTCTGATCTACTAATTCACGTGGTTTGAGAAAACACTATTGTATCTGGCCCTTACTTCAGTCAGATGTTGTAATTAAATTCACACTGTTGTTCATTTCACAATATGTCCAATGTTT